ACTGTAAGCTGGATGAGCCAGCAGTGTGCCCTTGTTGCCAAGAAGGCTAATGACATACTGGGCTGCATTGGTAGGTGTGTTGCCAGTAAGTTAAGGGAAATGATTATTTCCCTCTCTTCAGCCCTGATGAGGCCAGACCTGGAGTACTGTGTTCAGTTTTGGACTCTGTACTACAGAAAAGATGTCAAGAAATTGGAGAGAGTGCAGAGGAGGGCAAGAGAAATGATGAGGGGGCTGGGGAACATGACTTATGAGGAAAGACTGATGGAACTGGGCTTATTTAGTCTAGGGAAGAGGCTTTTGAGAGGTGACTTAATAGCAGCCTTCAACTACCTGAAGTGGGGTTTGAAAGAGGATGGAGCTAGACTGTTCTCAGTGGTGGCAGATGACAGAACAAGAAGCAACAGTCTCAAGTTGCAGCAAGGGAAGTTTAGGTTAGATATTAGGAAGAATTCTCTCAGTAGGAGGGTAGTAAAACACTGCAACAGGTTACCCAGAGAGGTGGTGAAATCTCCATCCTTGGAGGTTTTTAAAATTCAGTTGGACAAAGCTTTGGCTGGGATTATCTAGTTGGGGATGGTCCTACTTTGAGCAGGGGGTTGGACTAGATGAACTCGTGAGGTCCCTTCCAACCCCAACTTTCTATGATTCTATGAAATTAGTGTCATTTTAATATAAGTTAATTTTGCAAAAAAGGAAATCAGCACCACGGACAGAGAAATCATGAAAGACAAGTTAATTAGTTTTAGGATAGATAATTTCCAAAAATGCATATTGAGTCTTTCTGAAGGATTGAAAACATTTATTATTTTTCATTATTTATAATAATTTTCCTTCTCTGAGCTTCCAGTGTCTGTCTAGCACAGGTAGATCTTTGATTTTTTAGATGGTTTTTGTGAGTTGATTGCCTTTGTTTTGTAGCTGGAAGGAAATCAGATACCTTGGGAAAAATTGGGTCAAACAGTTTTACTTGGGAGATGGTCAGAGGTGTACTAAGCCTTGTGACCAGTGCAGGTTCTCTCATCACTAGGCTTAAGTAATCTTATTACTAGATTTAGAGCTACTCTCATTATAGGACTGACAGGTTCCTTGCTGTTATTGTTTCAGATTTAACTACATGTTTTTCTATCCTGAAAAGGAAGAGACAATGCAATTCAAATTGATTAATACATAATCTTATACTTTACACCTGTTGATGTCTAAGCACTTTACCAAGAAAGGTAAATACCATTGGGCGCCCATACACATGCATATAGGTTGCTCCAACACATTGGAATTCCAGCGCATCAGTGTGGCAATTGCTGTGCTCCAGCAGCCTCCTGCATCTTGTGCACCAGTGTCCCCATGGTTAAAAATGGTGATGGGGGCTCTTTATCTAAAGCTTGTTGAATAAGCTTTAGTTCTAGTGCCCTCACCACCATTTTTACGTGTGAGATGCTGATAAAGAAGATGCAGTGGTGCTTTAATTAGAGTGGCTTTTAGAGCCACTCTAATTAAAGTGCCAGTCTCCCCACCCCTAGAGCACATGTAAAAGTGGCCATTATCCCCAGTTGGATTTCAGGCTGGAATTCAAGTTTTCTGACTTGAATTTCATTGCTCCATTGATGGGATCAAGGCACTACAGATAAGAAGTGGATCTATCCACGTATCAGGATTATTTGCAGTTCTTTTAAAAAGATGGTTAGTTGCTTGGATATTTATAGTTCTGATATTATGCTTGTTTGCCAAGTAATTTGAGTGGACAAACTAACCAACAACATAAATAAATACATATAAATTAATTAAAATCAAAGTACAGTTTTCTGCTGTGTCATATTGTGGATTTCTCAGCAGTAGTTGTGCTTTTATATGAATAGTCTGATGCTTCCAGAGGTAAAAAAAATGAAAGTGAAATAAGCATGTTAGAAAATTCTAGGGAAGCATAGCCTACAAGTATAGTTTTTCTGTGTTACTGAATTTGGAGCGGACCTTACAAAAGGCAATCATGTGAAGGCAAAATGAGTGAAATTCAGTGCTCTCACTCTCCAGCAATTCTCAAAACCAGATAATTTTGCTTATTGGCATGGGTGATTAAATATAAAAATATATAGGGCAATAAGTTAAATAAATAAATAATAATTACATTTTCTGCTCAAGAGAGATCTAAAGTTTCTGAATGTTTCACCAAACATGGCTCCATTCTGCCCTTTTATTGATTCAGAGACTAGGTCAGTGTCCCATCTCTCTCATAAGCTTGGTAATTTTTTAAGTACGTCTTTTGAAAGAGTATTAGTTCCACAATGGGTGGCATTATAGTATAGTTTCTTCTGCAGATGTTGTTTTCAGAAGATGTTTAACTAGTATAGAGTGGAAAAAGGCATTTATGGGTTGAAAGCTGCTTTGGGATTCATCAAATGCCCCAGTGCTTCTAGACAGAAAGTTTGGAAGATAAATTGAAGATCCTTGGTCTCTACCATCTTAAATCAAACATCCCACTACTGGGCATGTGAAATGTGTAGCTGATGATGTTGGGGACAGGGGTGTTCACAGATCCTCTTTTTCTCTCAGGCATATTTTGGCCCATACTTTAAATGAGTCATTATCCTCAGCTTCATAGGTTTCTACTGACATTCTCAGAGATGAGTGGAAATTGGGACAGGCATTCCACAAGATGGAATTTCGACATTTCAATATTTTCCTCAGCTTAAATCAGGATGAGAAGTTGAAATATCAAAATCTTATGTGGAATGAAAAGCTATAACTAGCTTCGACTTGGAAATGCAAAACATTTC